GAGTCTCATTAAGTGTCCAGTTTAAGGGTCTTACACAGAAACATACCACACAACTTGAATCAAACATGCACTTTATTCATTTACACTAAATGTCTAAAGTACATCAAAACTGATTGGAGCTAAGGGCATACAAACTGTCTAACAATAGGAAAACCAAGTATAATGATTTCTATAACCATACAGATTTTAATTTTGTATAAAAATGTTAATGCAGGGTGAGAGGCTGACTCGCCATGCACTTCTAGTTGGTTCAAGGGTGTGAAGCAAGTTGCGGTAACCCTTGTATGGAGATGTGTGGGGATGAGGGAGTGGTGATTGGGTGTCTACTCTAGTACTCTAATCGGGGTGGTCACTAATCTAGGGGTACGTTGGAGATGGGAGTATGGGACTAGCAATGGTGGAAATCAATAATTCTCTTATTGAGCTAGTGTTTTTAAACCCTTGTTGACCTGGATGGTTGGACTGTTTGGCCTCGGAATCGTCTAGGCAATCAGCTCTGTTTTACTCTAAATCCAGCCTTCAGCCAAAAACCATTTTTGATCAGTAACCTATTGATCCGAGCGATCGAATAATTCACTCATTTGACTCATTCAACGATTTTTTGTCATTTTTTAATTATTATTTATTTTTTCAAGTTAGAACAGGCCATTCGTTTAAATCAGATGGTTGAACCATTGACCCTAAAACTGGTGGCCCAAATGGTTCTAGGTCGGTTTTTAAAACCTTGGACTGAGCTATTGGATAGCAAAGCGAAGAAAACTATTTAGGTAGCTTAACCTATGGGTGAGCAAAAAAACAGAACCAAAAATTCAGTTAACCAAATCGGTCGATTCGATTTCGGTTCAATATTTAAAAAAAATCGAAGGTACCGGTTCAGTTTCAATTAACCAAAATAGAAAACTGGCAATGAAACAAATCGACCAGTATGCATATATTTATATATATTTTATGTATATTTATATATAGTATATATATTAGATATTTTGTATACATTATAAATTAATAAATATGCATTATATATTATATTATTTATTATTTAAAATATAATATTATATATTTAGTATTTTATTATATATTTTTATATTTTTCTATAATAAATATAGTAAATAATAAAAAAATTGAAAAACTGACAAACCGAACTGATGGTTAACCAAACCGGTCAACCATGAGCACCCCTAGCTTAACCTATTCTTTGTAGGTGGGGAGAAAGAATGCGGGGGAGGTCGAGGAGGAAAAGGGGTGAGAAGTGAAGGTTTCTAAAGAGATGTATGTGTCAAGTATAGTGATGTAATGGAGGAGATTCTGAAAGAGAGTTCTAAGGAGGTTCTTATATTTGGTTCCAACTGCCTAGTCCAAGAAAGTATCCTCACTGTATAAAGATGTTGTGACCTCTTTCAAAGTGAGGAGTGGCGGCCAATCTGAGTACAATAGAGGTAGGGGCAGAGGAAGGTGTGCAAGAAATTGATAGAGCTATATAGAAAGCTTGGGGTGTCGCTTTGGTTGGAGTGGATAACTGGTAAGTGTTGGTAGACTTTATTTGGGGTTGAAAGATGTTGCTCGGTTGTGTATAATTGTTGATCAAGTTCTTCTTCTCCTTTTTTTGTTTTTTTTCTTTTTCAAAGTGGGGCTGAAGAGCCGCACAGATTTTTGTTGGCTGTTCTTTTATGATGTATATTTCTTTTGTTTTAATAATTTTTTTTTATCTTTTATATTTAAGGTAACCCCGCCATAAGATTTGTACCATTTCATCCCTTTTACAGTTTTACCCTTAAAAACCTAGAACTAGAGGGGTCTCCTTATTTATGAGTTAGAGGAAAATATGCAAATCTAAATCTAATTTAAATATTATTATGGCCGTCGTATAAGCCAAATTAGGGGAAAATGTCTTTCATAAAGGAGAGAAACTACTGGGTGAAACAACTAATGAAAATTTGCAACAAAGTGCCAATCAGTTGGTTGGTAAGGTCTCCTGTTGGTCATAGTGGAAACTTGGGATCAAACCCCGCCTGCACCTTGATTGGGGGGTTATGGATTGGGAGATTGACTCCCCCGCCCGATTGTATAGTCCTTCAGAACATATCAAAAAAACACTTGAGAAAAACTGCACCAATTTCTTCGAAATTATACTAAGGAATTTCATGGGCATCGAAATGGATCCTAAAATTATCGAATAGGTTTCTCCCATATTTGTGCACTATGTATTATGGAAAGGATAATGGTCATTCCTATTCCCATGACTTCCCAATAGTGTGGTTGGGAGTAAATGCAAATGAACTGACCAATTCGCCATGAAGCTTACACATTCTTTAATGGTCTTGTTACATTGGATAAAGATGAAAGAGGAAACCTTTGCTGCATAAGTTTCTCCCCCCTTGTGCACTATGGAAAAGATAATGCATCCCATCTATGCAATCCCAATTATTGAGATTTGAGATGTGTGGTTAGGAATTAATGCAATTGACCAATTCTCCCCGAATGCAACTTGGGCAGGTCTAACTTGAACCTGAACTGATTTAAATTTAACTTGTAATTTCATATGGGTTGGGTTTAGATTTTCGATTAGGCCCAAAAGTTCAGACTTTTTCCAACAAATCTTGAAAATAAATTTTCACCATTAATTTGTAGGCCCTTGCGGCGAAGAAGCAGCGCCGGAAGTTGCATTCCAAGAAATTCCCTTGGTCAGATTCAAGGAACAGTCGGAAAATAATTTGGGATGACTACTATTAACATATATAGCTGCAGAGAAGTAGCCACCAGAGAAGCTCTCATTCATTCCTGCTAGAAGAAGAATGAGACAATTGATGAGTAGAGTGGAGTACCTTACCTTGCATTTGAAGATTTTTGTCTCCCTGAGAACAATGAAATTAATGGAACTTGTTTGTTTGACTTTACATCTATTTATGAGAGTCATACGTGCCACCAAAGTTTCAAATCAATGCCTCAAACCAAGTCCTAATTGCTTATTAATTATATATTGACGACCCAAAAAGATAAGTTGAGATAATTCATTCATCGGCTCCCAACCATATTCACCCTGTCAAAGGCAAAATTGATTGATTGGTAGTAATAATCTGCCCTATATTTGGTGGGAGTAGTAACACTTAACTCCCTGTATACCAATATATTGCCCTCACTGTTGGCATTCTACCAATTAATTTTAGATAAGATTTTCATGTGTGCGTCTTTCAATATATTTAAAACATGAAATTGCCCTTATATCATGTTATGAGACTATTTTGCAGAAATTTATTAAATTACAAAAAAAACAATTAAAAAATAAAAAGTTACAGAAAATACAACAAAAATGAAGAAAAATAAGAAAAGACAAAAGAATTCAGAAAAAAAAATAAAACTATAGAAAGTTTAGAGTGGCCCCAAAATACAGGGTGGCAGTCTGTACTTATAAAATGTCCATACAAGTAATGGCTGATCGAGTTATTATAATGTCATCTGTATTAGTAATATACCAGCTGATTGTAGTTTCTTTTGCTTCCTAACTCTTACTCTTTCCCCTCGCCATATCTGTAGGCCCTCATCGGTTTTATTGCTGGTACGTATTGGCTGGTGAGAGGAGAGATGACTGTCAATTCATGCACATCTGAAGCAACTTGATCGCATCAAATTGGCCCGTCAACTTGAGTTGAGCAAATAGGCACTGACAGACTACTATAAATATATATAACTTCGTCATATAGCTCACAATAACCATCATCATCAGCATCAGCTTAGACCTCAGAGAGAAGCCATAAACCCATCCATCCCCAAAACAGAAATGATCTTTTCATTCATTCTAGCCTATCTGGAACACCTTTCCAAGAGATGGCCAGAAGTCTGTCTGGCATCATTTCTTGGGTACCTCTCTCTTCGGTGCTACCTGACTTACAAAACCCAGATCATAGCAAACTGGCCCATCGTGGGCGGACTCCCCTATCTTCTCAAGAATGTTTACCGCTTGCATGAGTGGTCCGCCGAGCTATCCACCATTGGCACCTCCTACTTGTTCAAAGGACCCCTTCTGGGGCGTCAAGAGCTGCTACTCACTTGCGATCCCCGCAACGTTGAGTACATCCTCAAGACCAACTTCTCCAACTTCCCCAAGGGTCCAGAGTACTTAGAAACCTTGGAAGTACTTGGACAGGGGATTTTCAGTGTGGACTCTGATTCATGGCATCAGCAACGAAAAATGGCGAACAAGGCATTTGGGGCCAAGGATTTCAGGAGCTCCATCGCCACCATGAGCCAGAAGGTGGTGGAGGATAAGCTCCTCCCCTTGCTGAAGCACCTCCAAGCACAAGTCTGTACCATAGATTTGCAAGATGTACTTCTGAGGTACTCGTTCGACAGTAGTTGCGCTATCATCCTGGGAGAAATCCCTGGATCTCTTTCTCCAAGCCTTTCATCCAATGAGTTTTCCCAAGCCATTGACGACGCAAGAGAAGTCATCTTCTTCAGGAACGTGATGCCCAGAAGATGGTGGAAGCTTTTGCGTTCGTTGAGGATGGGAAGAGAGAGGGAAGTGGCTAGAATATTAAAAACTCTGGACCAATACATGGCGCATTACATTTCATCAAAGAGAGAAGATCTGCTCAGAGGAGTGGAAGCAAATGATCTTCTAGCAACTTACATGAAGTTTCATGAAGATAGGAACGATATGTCACTAAACGGTGATAAGTTCCTCAGAGACACAGTCTTAAACTTCATCTTCGCCGGACGCGATACAGTTGCGTCGGGCCTTACAATGTTCTTCTGGCTGGTTTCAAAGAACCCACGAGTGGAGAAGAAAATCATGGAAGAACTGAGGATTCTGCATGCAAAGAATGTGGCCGACAGTAGCCGTTTGATGAAACCCAACGAGCCATGTATATACAGATTAGAAGATTTGAGGTCGCTGGTGTATTTGCAGGCAGCATTGTATGAATCCATGAGGCTGTATCCTCCAGTTCCTCTGAACCGCAAAGGGGTGCTGAAGGAAGATGTGCTTCCTGATGGTAATGTTGTTCGGCCTGGAATGCAGATCACCTTCTCCATTTATGCAATGGGAAGGATGCAATCGATATGGGGGGAAGATTGTCTGGAATTCAAGCCCGAGAGATGGTTTGGTGATGACGGTAAGTTATTGTCTGAATCCAAATTCAAGTATTTTGTGTTCAATATCGGACCAAGAACTTGCATTGGCAAGGACATGGCTATCACGCAGATGAAGTTGGCTGTAGCTGCCATTCTTTTCAATTTCCATGTTGAAGTGCTTGATGGTCAATCTGCCTCCCCAAAACCATCAACAATCCTTCAACTCAAGAATGGCCTGATGGTGAAGATCAAACACAGGGTAGCTTAATTAATTAGAGGATGTTGGTACTTAGCTTCATCGCTCGATCGTCAAATCCAAAGAATATATATCCACATATGCTCTCTCTAGTTCAATGTTCAGTACTCTATGCATGGTAAACATAGACTATATAAGGGGGTCTATTTGTTTCGTTCGGTATGTAGTCAGTTTGCTTCAAAATTTATTGTAGATTTTCTCCCTCGTTGATCTATCTGTGGCTCTATGTCATTTATCTTTTGTCTTTAAAGGTTTAGATGCCTTCAAATAATAGACTTGTCAAAGTAAGAAGTATCCATGTTCCTTTGTCATTTTGCTTCAAACTTGCCTAATAATCTATATCAGCTGTTTACCCTTTTTTTTTTTATCTTCTTTCCTTTTCCTTTATTTTTTAATTTATTTTTTGTCCTTTTTCTGTTTTTAATATTTTGGGTATCTGAGTAAGAGAGAGAGACCTCGACGGGGTAATTATTCATCCCCAAACCCATAAAACCCATCCCTATTGCAGGCAGGATTCGATTCCAAAATCTCCACTACAATTAAGTGGACTGGTTTCTAAAATCAATTTAGATGGATTGGACAGAAGCCATAATGGATTGGACCAATTCGGTCCAGAATATTTATTAGATTGGATTGGACCTGGTCTGTTCATAATAAATTTATATTAGAATTAGTTGGATTAAGTTAATATCTAGTCCATTGATATAAGATAAGAATGCAAGTGTGAATGGACCGGATTTGGGTTAAAACCAATCTAAATTAAAATGAATTTAAAAAAAAAAAAATTGGACAGTCCAAATATTAAATTAGACCGATCCAAAATGATCCAAATTATTCATTGGATTGGATTAATTGGACATAGTCCATTTGTAAGGAACTCACATGGAGCAAATCCAGTCCAATCGACACCCCTAACTACAACGAGCTGCCAGAGACCTTACCAACCAGCCATTGCAGCTGGCACCTGGCACAATGTAAGAGAGAGAGAGACCTAACTGAGTAACGGTTCTTAGGGCTCTGAAATTTTCTTGCGCCCTTAGGGTACCATTATTCAATTCTACATGCAAATTACTAAATACTAACTGAATAGTATCCAAGGGAAGCTTGAACTCTAGAACTAAGGAAAAAAACTTTTCGTTGTCATTCATAAATATCAACACACTTACGACCAAAAAAGTTGTAGAGTCTCTGATGTGTACAAAGTTGATTAGAACCTTCTGATAAAACCAGTAAGTTCATTTAAACAAATTAAAGATTTTATTTACATTTTTATTGCACTATCATATTATTAATGTTTTTTGTTTATTTGTTTTAGATGTTGATGAGGCAGAAGTAGTCCTTAATCTATTGATTTGGTATATAAGTTTAGCTTTATTAACTTATTTTTATTTTTATTTACTTTTATTTGAATTCTAAGCCAAGAATTTCTTTTTTTTTTTTGTTGTAGGAATTCAGTGAGATGGATGATCATTGCTGATTGGAATTTAGTGGATGCAAAATTTCTAGGAATAGTCCTTAATCTATTTAACGACTTGAAGTTTGATATTTATATTAATCATTTGGAACTTTTGAACGATTAAACTTAAACTTTGATAATGTTGGTTTGTAATAATTACCTTTACACTTGATGAACTTAATTAATTAATGTTTGATTTGGATAATCAGTTGTGTCCATGGTGATAGTTCTGTTCATTTGTGATTTTGATCAGTTGTACTTCATACAGATTACAAGTTAGATAAGTGGATAATATTAATTAAGTGCCCATGGTAATCATTTATGAAAATGATCCATTGATCATACAGATTACAGGCTAGCTGGATAATCAGTTAATTCGCGATCATTACAAGTTAGATCAGATTAGTGATACTATTCATTTTTGTGATCATATGTATAGTGATTGTATAGATTTCAGGATAGAATTTGTACCGGATCAGAATTGTGATAACTAATTTGTCATGCACCATGAAAATTACAGGTTAAAATTTGCATTAGATCATATTGGTAGTAATATTCATTTATGTGTCTGTTTTTTTTTGTTTAATTATTAATTTGTATTTGTGATCATAAAGATTAGTAAATTTGTACCAGAGCATATTGCTGAATTACATGTTAATTTTTATTGGATCGGTTCGGATCAGATTGTACTGAATCAGATCATTGGATATTTGTTTGAAGTTTTTCAATCAAATTGAATCGAATCTTTCGAATATCTGATAAATTGACCTAATCCAAATTCAAATAAGGGATTAGGGAATCCGACGAATTCTAATTTAAATTTGAATTATATGAATTTTCTATTAAATCAAAATTGAATATACCTCGATTCAAATCGGACAATCTTCATTTAAGAAAAAGAAAATAATGTATTAATAACAAGACTGTGTTAGAAATGAATTCATATTAAAAAAAAAAAATTAATGAGCCCCCACACATGTGCTGCATATGGAGGACCAACTGGTATGTATTCTTATCCAACAAAATTTTAGCGAATATTCATTTCTCAATTTGCAACACCAATGGATTAAAGGTAGCTTTCTTATTGTGAATAAGTCAAACTGTGTAAATAGTTCGAAAAATTCATTCTTGTATTCATTCTATAAAATCACCAACTTCCCATATTGAAAATATTGCATTTATTGAATATAAAAAACACATTAATATTTATCAATTGAGAAATCTCAATAGTTCTATCTTCTTACTAGTGGTGGCAATTGGGCGAGTTGGGTTGGGCTGGGTTTGCGTTGAGTTCAACTCAACCTACCTAATCTTTCAGCCTATTAATGACGCAGTTATATAAAATAAAATGAGTTTGGTTCAATCCAAACCTGCTTTAACCCAATCCAATTCGCCCAAACCCATTAATCTTATATTTATGTAGTTAAAACAAAAACCTAACCCTTATTCAATAAATAAGTTGGTTACAGTTTGGTGGTAATACTAGTTTCTATTTATACAAGTGATGAAGGTTCAAATCACATTACATGCATTTTATTTTTACACAAATGACGAAGTCATTTGACTATGTTTGGGTTTCAGGTTTGACCGAACCACATAGGTTCAAACTGGTCAGACCAAATTGAACTATCTAATTGGATTGTCTTCGAGATAATCACATCAAGAGTGGACCAGTCCAGTCAATGGAAATTTGACTTGGATTGGCCCATATCAGGTTTGTGCACGAGTTTGGTACTGAATCGACTGGCCCAAAATGGGTCAAGATAAGTAAATCGGATCGAACCAGATTCGGGTTGGGTTGTGCATACAAACCGACCAAGTGATCCAAACATGGCAAAGCAAGCGGAGCGGATTTTGGGTCGGGCCAAACCATCCACCTGGACTCATTTTGGATTTGGGTCAACCCGGATCAACCTGTCCTAGGTCAGGTCGGGTTCAGACTGGGTTGATTGACCCAAATGAATCGAACTGAGGTGATCGGGTCTGTTCATATTTAGACCAAATTGAGCTGGTCTGGACTTGGGTCAAGTTGATTTGGATTATGTCAATTTGGGTGACGTTTGTTGATTCAAGACAAAACTAATTTCAGTCAATAATTAATAGAAAATTAATGCATTAATTATAAATTATTTCATTCAAATTAAGAAAATTTAAAAAAAAAATGACTAAGGAATTAATACTTATATATGTAGTGGTTAAACCAATGGTTATCCACAACCCAATCCAACTCAACCCATTTAAATTGACCCATTAGGTGATCAACCCATTTCCAACCTGCCAAATAAATGGGTGGATTAGATACTGGGTGGGTTGGGTGGATTCAGCAGGTTGGGTGAAAAATTGCCACCCCTACATCCTACGCTATACAGTTTACTCTCTCATTCTTATCATAACAATCCACTCAATATTTGATCAAAAGTTGTATGTCAACGGTCTTGCTGTTTCGTAGAGAGAGAGAGCCTCTATGGGATTTATTGGAAGAGGCTAATGAAAGACCTTATCTATTTTCTATATATCAAAAATTATTTAAAACATTATTCATAATTTAAAATTTTTATTTATTTTAAAAAATACTATTATCTGAAAACATTTTGGGGATTCGGGTCCCCATGGGGAAACCATCCCCATCAGTGATCAAGGATGGGGGTTAATTTTAGAATCGAGGTCGGGGCCTTAGGCCCACGATTTCATTGAGTGTTTGTTTTGCCCTTAGCCCATGATTTTTTATTCCCAAAATACCCCTAACACTTTTTTTGTATAAAAAACAAAATTGAACAGATGTAGCTAATAAAGTGGTTGTCTATGTCTTTTTAAGGGCAAAAATGATATTTTTATTTTTATTTTCTTTTGATTAAATTTATTTAAATGAACATTAGGGTCAATACTATCATTTTCCACTGTCATCTAATGAAAGATTGATTAAATCCATTGCAAATTATAAGTGGTATTTTAGTAAAATACTAACTATAAAGTAGATTTTAGTAAATCCATAAAACTATAAGGAGTATTTTTGTGTATAACCCTTTTTATTATTTAACTTTCTCTTAATAAATTGTGTACATTACACGGGTCACCACTAACTTGGTCATATAAAACTATAAAAGGCTTCTATGAGCTGACTTCTTGTACGGATACAAACCACATCAGGCCAATGCGAAAATGTGATTACAAGGACTAATAATGACTACAGTGGGTTATCAAGATAAGATTGAATGGATTGTTATTATAAGGATGAGAAATTAGAGACAAGGAAGATAGAATTTAAGTTGGATCGGGATTTCTCAATCTATAAATATTTATATCGATGTGCTCTTCATATTTAATTAATGCTTTATTTTCAGTCTTCTTTGATATTTCACATGCTATTAGAGACAAAGGTCAGACCTGGTTTCACATGGTATAAGAATGTGTTGCCGAGTGACCATCTCATCAACTACTGCAATGGCCACATAAGTAGGTCAGGCATCAATCAATATATAAGTGGAATCTACAATTGACAATATCAACACACCCATTGTAGTAACATTATTTCGTTTGTTCATGAAATTATAAGGTT